GGGACTGCCCGCAGGTGGGCTGGCGAGAGGCAGGGGGGCCGCCTCTGAGAGGTGGTTGCACGGCGCACATGGTGGTCATGACTCTTGGAGCCGGACAGGCAGATGGGTGCATTCCGTTGTCTGTAAATGAGACTGCAATAAGCTGGGTTTCTAAGCTCTTTTCTGGGGCGAGGGACACAGCCAGGCCTGTTGGTGGCACTAGGTGGGGGGGGTGAGTAGGGTGCTGGGAAGGTCTGGAAAGAGGAAGCAGGGAGACAGGAGATCACCTGGTGCCTGAGAGGCCATAAGGGGGGTGGCCTTGGGGCAAGAAGCAAGGGTGGTCCCGGCCCCCTCCTGCCCTCCCGGCTGGGCCACTCAGAGGAGCAGTGTATGGACAGCACCCAGCTGCCCACCCCGTCTCTCCCACCTGCTCCACAGCACGTGATCTTGCTGGCCACTGGGCCCACCCCCAGACCCCAACACTGGAGAACCCGAGAGACACACCACAGCCCCCAGACTTGCAGGGACCTCGGTGGGGGCAAGGCTAGGAGAACAGGAGAAGTGACCCCAAGCCTCGGAAGGGCAGGGATCTGACTTCTCTCCACTGCGCAGCAGAGCCCAGAGCAGGCCCTCGGCGCACGCAGAACAGATGAGCACCCCGTGAAGCTCCCGCGCCAGGCTCCAGGGCCAAGGGGAGTGGGGGCCAGCCTGGCTTCCCCTCCACCCTCATCCTCCCCGCTCCCGCATCTCGAGGCAAATGCAGCCACGCTATCCCCCCACAATACCGTGAGCACACCTGACAACGCCGTCATTCCTTAAACTCACAAAATAGCCACTCAGCCTTCAAATTTCCCAATTGTCCCGTTGTGTAAAATAAAACATCTGGTCTGTGCAAATCAGGACTCAACAGGGTCTGTGCACAGTGCTCCACAGCTGTCCCCCGTGTCTCTCTCTGGAAGTCCCAGGAGAGACAGTGACTCACGAGAAGGATGCGGGGACTGAGCAAACATTCCCCCCACACCCAGGTGAGATGAAGCTCTAGATGACAACTCAGCTTCAGGAACAGCGGCGCAGCGTGCAGGAGGCTTCCACAGCGTTGCTGCGTAAGTTGGCAAAGTTTCTGTTCGTCTTAAAAGAAAGGCAAGAAGCTTGAGAGATTCCAGTTCCCCAGCAGTGATTCTTGAATGTGAGCGTCTGACTCCTGGTGGGTCTGTTGAAGATGGATGGCTGCGCCCACCCCACGGCTCCTGCCTCAGTAGGTCTGGGGTGAGGCCAAGAATTTGCATGTCCACTGCGCTCCCAGGTGACGCTGAGCAGCTGGTCCAGGGACATTCTGAGAACCTCAGCTTCATGGGCATTTCGAGAACATACCCGTGGCTGAAGCTTAGGAATGGTGTTGCCTAGAACAGAAGGGCCTTGTGGGTCTGTAAAGATTAAGAACCAAACACAGTGTGCCCCGCACGCCAGGACCCCTGTGCAGGAGACACCTGCTATGACGGTACATGGATGGGTTTGGCACCCTAACGCACCACCTGGTGGCACCGTACCCAGGTGGCAACATGGACGTGGGCTCCAAGGGCCTGTGACATCACCCACCTCCTCTGTCCTCTCAAAGCTACTCTGGGAGGAGGAGAACAGGACTCAGGACAAAATGGGTAGGAAACAAGAAACAGGCTTAAGTTCTAGGTTTGGAGGGACATGGGCCCTTGGAGTCCTTGGTGGAATGGGGGGCCCACCCCCCAGTGCCCTTTTGCCTTACAAGGAAGGAGAGCCCAGGAGGGGCTGGAGGGGTCAGAGAGGTCACTTTGGGTAGTGTGTGGGCCACCGACTCTCAGGAGAGGGAGGGCAGGACTGCCAGAGTGCCCGGCCCACCGCCCCCAGCTGACCCGGGCCTCGCCTTGCCTTGTCCTCACCTGCCAGGGGGGCAGGAGGCTGCCAGGTCCCGGAGAGTGGCGGCGAGGAGGGGTTGGGCAGGAGGAAGGAGGCGGTGGGGGACGGGGCAGGGAGCAGGGACAACAAAGGAAGTGAGGAGAGGGTGCAGGCGCCCGCGCAGGGGTGGCAGGAAGGATGCCCCTCCCCCCAGCCTCTCCACTTTGCTCCTTGTAAAAACCTGGGCCGGCCAGCCCCTCTCTGCAGGGACAGATGTCGGGGAGAAAGCTGATTATTGTCGAAGGCTGGAGGCTGTGACCGCAGCGCTCGGTGAGCGTGACCCAATTCGGAGCTATTCTCAGCCTGGTGGGAGCCGCCTTATTCCCTCCCGCCACCGCCATCGCTTCCGAGGCAGCCTGACTTTGAAACGCCCTCGTCTGGGGCGCCAGGCTGGGCCACACGGGCTCCCCGGGCAGAGACTCGACATGGGGAGTGCACGCTGGGTGGGCGAGGCCACCCTCCAGGCAGGGCCAGCAGGCTGGACCCACTGTCCCACTTCCTGCAACCACCTGTGCAGAGACCCCCGCACTCTGCCGCCAGCCACGGCCAACAGACCCCGGCTCTGAGCCAGTCTCTCGTGAAGCTCTGCTCCAACGTCCAGGAAATGAGCCGAGCGCAGCGCCCGCAGGGGCAGAAAGGTCCCCCGCCCCGGCCGGCAGCACAGGGATCCAGCCCCATCCCTCTCGCGCCGCCCACACCACATCTGCGCCTGGCTCCTAGGAGCCCCGAGGGCAGGCGCGGGCTGCCTGAATGGGTCTTCAGTGCCCAGGAGTGGGGTCTGCACACAGTAGGTGCTCAGTCGCCTTCTGCTGGGTGACACCCCCACCCCGCAGCTGGTGAACATGGAGCGCGGGGATTGGACAGTCAGCCCCCTGCACACACTCCCTTCGAGGCCATCACATCCAGGATCTGGAGCAAGATCCCTCCCTGGGGACACCCTCAGGCTGGGCGGCGGGGCACAGGGCCCCAGCCTTGTGAACAAGGGCGCCCTCTGCTCTTGGGGTGCTTTGCACCCCATGCTCTTGGGCCTGCCCTCCCCGATCTGGACGGCTGCTCACCCTTCTCGATCCCTGCCCTGCACAAGTGTCCCCTGAGAAGCCTTCCACGACTGCACCAGTAAAGCCTCCCCTCTGGCCTCTGTGGTCAGTCTGGGGGACATTGATGGTCGCTGTCCCAGCGAGCCTCATTGCCTCCAGGCCTGTTTCCCCACCTGTACAATGGGCCGAGTGCCCTGGCATCCCTCCTGCTGCCCAGTGTGCAGGCCAGAGGCACATGGCCGCCAGGAGAGCCGCCATGGAGAGAGGGGGCAGCCCCACCCGTGCAGCAGACCTCTGCTGTCACTCTGCTAGACAGGGCATGCCCGCTGTAGCCTGGTGTCCCTAATACCACCTACCCAGAACCCCTGCCCTCCAGGTGCTCCTGGCTGGCGGACTGGGGCCCCCAGAGGCAGGTGAGGGTGAGGCCCAGGAGAAGCTAACAGGAGTTGGGGGGTGAAGGGAGCAAGCCCAGGGGGCTTCTGGGGGGGGTGGCTGGAGCCAGACCTGGGACCCTCGCAGCAGGGAAACCAGGGTCTGGGTCCAGGGCCTCCCAGGGAGTCAGTAGTGCCTCTGCCCAAGGAAAAAGAGGGCCAGAGGCGAGTGACGCTGGGCGGGGGTTTCCTGGTGAATTCCTGCCCTGTGACAAGCCCCGTGCTGCTGACTCAAGGTGACCACCAGCGACGTGCTGATCAGCCCCAACCCTGCTTCTCTGGGAGTCAGCCCCCCATCTACAGAACTGGGGCACTGCCAGGCTCCCGCTGCTGTGCTGTGGGGGCTCCAGGCCGTGTGGGAGCAGAGGATCCTTCTGCCTGGGTGTGTCTTTGAGGTCTGCAAAAGCATGTTGAGGAAGGGACATTTGAGTGGGGTCTGGAAGGACATAAAGGAGTTTGCACCTGGCTCATGGAGTGGGGTAAGGCTGAGCTAGGCCTAGAGGGCTAACAGGCAGAGAATGGACGCTTAGAGGGCCAGAAGGCCATGGGGGCCTACCTGTGGGGCCCAGCAGCACAGCCTGGCTGTGTGGCCAGCCTCAGCCCCATCTGGAAAATGGACACAACCTGGGCCCTGCAGTCCCCAAGGCCTGTGTTCTGAAAACCAGGAAGAGCTGTGTCCCAAAGAAACATCTCCTGGTCCTCACCTATCAAACAACCCAAAGGCCTTCCCTTAAGGCCAGGCAGCCAAGGTCAGGCAAAGCAGGGCAGGCCTGTGGGGGAGTCCACTGACTCAGGGGTACGTGGCTGCCTAGTTTATGGTGCCCTGGACACAGCCCTGAACCACCAGGAGCTCCTGGCATTGGGGTCACCCATTTTCATGTTGAGCCTGGCCTGGCGCCCTTCCTCTGTCTCTGGGCTAGGCATGAGGTTAGAGGTCAGGCCAGGGCCAGGCGCAGTGGCTCACGCCTATAATCCTAGCATTCTGGGAGGCCAAGACAGGAGGATTGCTTGAGGTCAGGAGTTCGAGACCAGCCTAAGCAAGAGCGAAACCCCGTCTCTGCTAAAGATAGAAAGAAATTAGCTGGACAACTAAAAATATATAGAAGAAATTAGCCAGGCATGGGGGTGCATGCCTGTAGTCCCAGCTACTCGGGAGGCTGAGGCAGGAGGATTGCCTGAGCCCAAGAGTTTGAGGTTGCTGTGAGCTACGCTGATGCCACAGCACTCTAGCCTGGGCAACAGAGTGAGCCTCTGTCTCAAAAAAAAAAAAAAAAAAAAAGAGGTCAGGACAGGTCCTAGGAAGGGACAAGCCCCCTGGAGCAGAGCTGGTGGTTCTAGGGACCCTGAGGGACTCTCAGGGGACACAGGAAGGCCTGGAGTGCCAGGGCTGTGGAGGAAGGCCCAGCACTCTTGAACCCCGCTACCCCCTGGACAAGCGGCCCTTCCTGCAGCTGGATGAGGGTGGCCACACACTTGCCCCTTTGTCCACCGAGTCCCAGGCCATGGTCCTGGAGGCTGGGGCCCCTGCGGCGCCCTCTCTAGGTCAAGGAAATGAAGGAGCAGGGCCAGGAGGACCAGCCTGGACTCCAGCTGGGGCGAGGGACCAGGCAGCAAGGCAGGAGCAGCACATTTATTGTTGTCAGCTGTACTCGAGGGCCAACCCCGTGCCCACACGGGGAGCTGCCAAGGCTCCCTCCCCAGCACAGGGGAAACTGAGGCCCCCAACAGCTGCTGGCTACCTAGGCAGGCACACAGGCCCTCCGTGCACCAGTGACAGCTGCAGGGAAGCCTCATGGCCTGACACTGGTGCTGGTCCTCCCGGGATACCGCTGCGCACCAGAGGGCAGCCAGGCCCAGGGCCACGCAGCAGAGCAAGTGATGAGTGCCCCCAGCCTAAGCATCCCGTGTCCTCCCCTCAGGAAACAGTCCCTCTGCCTTCCAGTGGTGGCGACCAAGGTGCCGTCTCTGGGAGCTGGCCTGGATACACCCGCCTCTCGCACCTGCACTGCTGTCCCTATCTGGGGCCTCCAGGGCCGGGGCTCCTGTGAGAGGCAGGGGTGCCCGTGTAGGTCTGGGATTCACAGGCTGGTCCAAATCCCAGCTCCAACACGGACTTCCTGGATCATTCAAAGCAAATAACTAACTGTCCTGCTCTGTTCCTCTGTGTGACACATGACCTCACTGATGACACGTCAAGGGGCGTGGCCAGGCAGGGGCTGCCCCCTGCCCCTTGGACACGAGGGAACATACTAGACCTAGGCGGTGTCCAATGCTGTGGGGTCAGCCTGGAGGCGAGAGGCTGGGTCACCTTCCCCGGTCCCCAGAAGCACTGGGGAGAACAGAGGGGCAGGGCAGGGCTCTCTGGTCAGCCCCACCCCAGCTTCCGGCCATGCCCTGGGACCACCAGCACTGGAGCCTTGGCCCAGGGACCGACAAGCCGGCCCATAAACACTGGGGATGGCCAGAGCCCTGGGGTCAGATGTAGCAGGGCCTCTGCCCTCCTCCACCGCCTGCCTGCTTGGGCCACCTGGGGAGGAGCTCGGACCCCGCCTCCTGGGCCTCAACACCTAGGAGAGCCCGTGGCAGTGCAGACTTCACGTTGGCAACAAACAGCAGCGAGGACCAGGCCGCTGAGCTTGGCAGTGACGCAGGCGCAGGCAGTAGGACAGGCCGATGCTCCTCCACCACTCAGCCACCCAGGAGGCCCCCAAGCCCCGCCCCGCCGTCTGTTTCTAAACCGCAGGCACCAGCAGGCGTCCCCTGACCATATAAGGTGGTCTCTGGCCTCCCTGCCTGGGCCCCACAGTGCTCCCAGCTCCCTCATGCTCCCAGGCAGCAGCCACTAGCCCGGGGTCTTGGTGGCAAAGGTCAGGTAGCCAGTGTGGCCCACGGCCTCCTTCATGGGCGTGCCGCTGCGGAAGGGGCCGGCGTCAGAGCTGGCAGGGGTGGCTGTGCCGGCACCCAGGTCTGGCAGGGGCAGGCTGACGGTGCGTACGTTGTAGACCTGCGGCAGCACCTCCAGGGTGCTCAGCTCCGTGAAGCCACAGGCCGCCAGTGCCTGGCACGTGCGCTGCACCTGCTCGATGCATGGCGAGAAGGAGCAGAAGCGCCCACCTGCAGGGAGCAGGACACCGGGGTCAGAGGGCAGGGCTGGCAGAGCCCCGGAGCCCTATCTACCCAGCCCTGGCATCCTTGGGCCCTGGGGTTGGGGCCTGAGGCCGGCCTAGGATGACCCCAACAGAGGCCTGGCCCTCACCTGACAGCCACCTGGGGCAAGAGCCCTCCGAGCACCCAGAAGCCCTTCTGGGCACAGGGCCACAGTTCACGCCGACCAGCTCGGCCCCAGGATGGAGCCCTCCCGGCACTAGGCCAAGCCATGCTGCCCTGATCTTACTTGGCCCCAGCGGCCACCGCTGTCCTACCTTCCATGAGGCGGCCAAGGGTCGGGGCCAGGCGGGCCATCAGAGCAGCCAGCACGCCGAGCCCGGGAACAGCTCTAACCACCCAGCGGCACAGGGTAGGGTGTGTGGGCCGGGGTGGGAGTGCTGCTGTCACAGGAAATTAAAGGCTGTCGCCCGCTCCTGGGAACAGGAGGCGCCCACTCTGAGCAGAGCCTGACGGCCAAGCATGACAGCCCTCCCTGCTCCTCCCACAGGGCCGCCCATGGGCTTCACTCAGCCTGGCCGGGGGTGAATGAGTCCAGCCCAGGTCCCTGTCTTGGCAGGGAAGGGGTGTATGGCCTGGGCAAGTCTCAAATGTCCCTGAGGCCTGGTCCCCTCAGACGTACCCTGAGCAGGGCTGCCAGGAGGTCTGGGCGGGGGGGAGCCTGCTGCACAACACCAGCCCAGATGAGGCACAGTGTCACCAAGGCTGAGCACACCACATACCTCCCTGCCGGGGTCACGTGACAGGCGAGTGAGCCACCGGGAAATGCCAGGCCTATGTGTACGTCAGGACCCTCGGGACCCAGACTCAGCAGAGCCAGAGAAAGGGCCCAGAGGAGGGAGCTTATAGGGACACGGGGAGGGGACTACAGACCTCTGGAGCCACTCACAAGAGGAATCGCTGCAGCAGGAGGGAGGCTGGGTGGGACTCTGCACGTGCTCAGGGGCTCACCTGGGGCCCCAGAGGAAGGGGGAACCCGCAGGAGCAGAGGCAAAGCTGCAGGGGGTGGAGGTGTGGGGACCCCAGCAGCTGCCCCCTCCCCAGCCCCGGGCCACCTCAGCAGAGCCCAGGAACATGGGAGAACCTGAACCAGCAGGCAGGGGACTCCGGCCATTGCCTTGCTGTCTGAGCCAGGCCTTGGCCCCTCCCCAGCGCCCCATCCTGCCTCCCCACCCCTTTGCACTGCAGCTCTCCACTGGGAGGAGGCTCCCCCCTTCACCGCCTGAGCCCGCTCCTTCTCCAGAAAAGGGAAAACCCTGGGCCTCCCTGGCTTGGGGCCCGACCTTCCCCAGGCCTCCGCCCCCACACCCAGCATCTTCCCTAAAAGGGGCCGGCTCCCTGGGCTCCCTGGGCTGTGCAGCTCCCTGGGCTAAGCTGCTCTGGGGGAGGGGAGACTGCAGGAAATGGCTGGGGCAGGGGCTGCCCTTGCCCTCTGACCCCTGCCCTGGGCCTCCCCTGCACTGGGTGGGGGGGGCGGGGAGCTGACATATTCCCCAGGGGCCTCAGACACCTCCTGCCTCGGGTGGAGACCAGGGCAGAGCCAGGAGCAAGCCCAGTGAGACCCCATCCCCCTGACCCCGACTCCTTGGCTAGCCCAACCCACTCCTCACCTCAGGCCACAAAGGGACAAAGGGGCCCTGGCCTGGCCATGCCACCGGGTGGCCTGGAAGCATCGAGATCTCTCTGGAGCCCAGCCCCGCACCCTTAGGCTGCACCCCTTCTGGAACCCCCATGCACCTTCGACCTTGAGGGCATCCCAGGCATGGCCCACAGCCTCCCACGGTGACGGAATGTCCAGGAAGACGGCGTCGGCCTCGTGGCTCACGCCGAAGCCGCTGCGGCACACGTCCTGGGTGTGCACAGTTACCCAGCGGCCCACGCGGTGCTCCTGGAACTCCTCCCGAGCCTTCTCTGCCCGCTGCTGGTGGAACTCCACTGTGTGCAGGTGGCCCGTGGGAGCAATGGTGCGGATGATGGCATGGGACACGGAGCCGCTGCCGGTGCCTGCAAGATGAGATGGGCAGACGTCAGGTGGGACTGCTCAGGGCCCCCAGCCACCCAGGAAGCAACCCCACCCGCACCCTGGAGAGACCCGCAAAGGGCCCTGGAGGGCGGCTGACTCCAGGGCTATAAGGAGGCATCACTCTTTGCGCCACCTGTCTGGCCCTGGCAGCCCCAAGCCCTGGGCTGGGGAGGCTGAGGCTGTGTCCAGGCTTCTGGAGAAGCAAGAACAGAAGCCACCCACCCAATCCCGGCCTGGCAGGTAAGGGGGCTGAGGGGAGCCCAGCTGGGGACCTCACAATGAGTCCTTGCCAAGGGGACAAAGAGGCCTGGGCCCATCCCATCCCTCACCCCATGGCCTCCCACGGAGTGGCCGATCCCTCATCCCTGTCAACAGCGCCCCCCCGCACCCTCCCCCGCCCCGGGAGCTCCTTGGTCCTCTCAAAGCTGTCCACCCCCACCGAGCTTGCCAAGTCCATCCCCAGCACGCGGGTGTGCGGCTCTGCCCTGGCCTGGCACGGCCCGCAAGCTCCACATAGCCCTCCCCCAGTGTCACCTCCCCATTTCCCACCTCGCCTGTGACTTCTCATCCCACAGCACTGGGGCCAGGGCCTGCGGCCCCCACCCCACAGCTTCCGGTGCCACATGCCTGACAACTGCCAGTCCACGTGCCACCACGCCAGACTCCACCACAGCACCCACCACACACGTGCCACCTCCTCCTCAACACCCAAACGGCACTGAGCACCAACCAGCCTGAATCCACGGCCTGCTAAGGCTCCCCAGGGCCAGTTGAGGACACCCGCTGCCTGGGCCAGACCATGGAGCCAACCTCGAACCTCCCCCATTCCACATCCTCCACCTTCTTCCCACTCTCCAGGGCGGACCCTCCTCCCACCTGCCCGCCACATCAGCCGCGCCCCTCCCCAAAGCTCTCAACAGCTGCCACACTGGCGACCTTTGATCTTGTCTCCTCACAGCCGTGGCAGCCGTGGCTGCAGGGACCCCACTCGAACATGCAGCCTTGGCTCACAAGCTCACCAGCAATCAACAGCGCTAAAGTGGTCCCCCAGGCTTCCTGTCTGTGCTCCCCCAAGAGCGGGAACCTGGCACGTCAGAGGAGCCCAGAGAGGCGCGCTGACTGACCGAGCTCCTTTGGCGCGAGTGGAGCCAGGGCCTGCACACTGGCTGCAAGAGGCACAGGAGCATGGCTGTTGGAGCTGGCTGAGTCCTGCTCTCCATCCCCCACCCTCCGGGGAGCCTCACAGAGGACGGGACGGCCTGCAGCCCTCAGAGAGTCAGCAGCAGTGCTAGGAACTCTTCGGGACCCTGGACCGCAGCTCCCCAGCTACTGAGGAACATGCCACCATCTGGGCTCATCTTGGGCTAGGCCCAATCTTGACTTCAGTTGCCACCCCAGGTGGCCCCAGCATCTGGGTGTGTGGGGGGAGTACCCACACCCCAGGCCCTGGGCTCAGCGACGATTCTCACATTCACTGGTGGTAGGTGAGGATCTGGCCACAGATGAGGATGGGGCAGCTCCCCACCCACCATGAGCTCCTAAGAGCAGCCCTGAACTCCCCCAGAAAAAGGCAACTCTCTTTCCTTCCTCAGCACAGGGACTAGGGACTGACGGTCAGCACCTTGGTCAGCACCAAGCAACACTCTGGCCCCACCCCGCAATGCAGGCAGGAGCCTGCTGGACCACCTGGGTCCAGTCCCCACCACCTTGCACTTGATTACAGCCCCAGCCTCCTAACAGGCGCCCCTGCCTCCACCCTCACTGGGCGGCCAGCCCCCAAGAAGAATGCTGCGAAAACAGAAACTGAGTAGTCGTGCTGTCTGCAGGAAGGGCGGGCTGGAGGTTGCACACACGTCGCTTTGACCTTCACCTTTGTGTCAATTTCTCAGTTAGAACTGAAGTGGCCTGAGGAACTCACCGGACTCACAGACCACAGAGCCGGGCCGAAGCTCCAGCATCATGGTGAGCAGGGCGATGTCAGTGGAGTACAGGATCTGCGTGCGGTGTGGCAGGTTCAGTGTCCACAGCTCAGGCGTGGGGTGCAGCACGTACACCCAGCCGCCGCGGCCACAGGTCACCTTGGAGCCAAAGGGGCGGCCGATGAGGTCAACTGAGTGCCGCAGAACACCATGCCGGGTCTGGGTCTGTGCCCCACGCTGCACACGTACTGCCACCATTGCACCATGGCCCAATGACAAGATGGCTGTGTCACCTTCCTTGATCAGCTCCTCATACGCCACGAAACTCATGGTGCTTTTGTCTGGCAAGTGCCAGGGACCTGGGGAAGGGTGTGTGTGCATGAGCAGGCCAGGGGCCCGAGAGGCAGGATGTAGGCTGGGGTCTGGGCAGAAAACTGTGTGGCCAAGATCCTGAGCAGTGGGGATGGGGGTATGTGGCTAGCTCACCCCCAGCACAATAGGGCTGCACTCAGGCCTTTCTTGGTCTAAGACGAGAGGCAGGAGCTATGAGGTCAAATCAGAGATGAAAAGAGTGAGGCTTGGCTATGGCAGAGGTCGGGCCCAAGGATTCCCACAAAGGATCCGACCCCCCATCACTCTTCTCCGGAGCCTGACTCCCATTCCCCGGGTGTGAGAGAAGAAAGCGGCCTTTGCGAGCTGTCCGCGGCCAGGGAGCAGCAACTGGTCAGTGAGGTCACCTCCAAGCCAGGCTTCATCCGCAGAACCTCCTCCTCCCAATCTCCCCCAAGCGCGCTTCTGGGCGGACGGGTGGCGGGGGGATGCGAGAGAGGTAAGGGCTCCCCGAGCAAGGGCTGGGGCAGCGGACTCGGCCATAAACTGCAACAGCGGCCCAGCCAGTGCGGACGCCGGAGGGGGCCAGGCCAGGGTGGCAGAGGGCTGGGGCAGCCACGCAAGGTTGGAGGGACAGCGCAGGGCCCGCCCGGGCGACCCCCGCCCACGCACGGCCGCCGTGGACCCCTCGTTGTCTCACCCGCGACGCTCTTGCTGCCGGGCTCCACACGTGGCGCCGCGACGCGCGGCGGCGGCCACAGCACTTCCGGCTCCGCGCCCGCTGATGACGTCGCGATGGGCACGCCCCGTCAGCGCGCGGGATCCTGGGAGCGCCCGCTGCCCTTCGCGTGCCCGGCGGGGTCGTTTCCTGGTCGACTTCTCCCGCGTAGTTGTGCCTCTGTGTGCGCTTGCTCGTTGCAAAAAAGAGCGGAAGACAGGACAAAATAAGTCTTCCTGTCCCGTCTGGGGTGACCGCTGGGGTGACCGCGGCCCTTTCCAATTTTGTCCAAACGGCTGGCGCCGGCCGGCCCAGGGCTAGGCGCTCAGTCCTCTTCCAGGGCGCTTCGCCGGGGACATTCTGCGCCTTCCCACCGCTCTGGGAACACCCTGCCCGGCCCCAGGATGCATTTCAGGAAGGGGACTCGCAAGGGATCCCAAGAGGCTAGGGTCAGCCAGCGGCACGGGGCTGGTCATCTGGAAGGGTCTGCAGGGGCTTTTGGCCCACCCTGCCTGCCCACAGGGCACACTCTCCTGAGTGCAGAGCTGCTTCCAGGAGGGAAAGGGGGTCTGTGTCCCTCTCCTGGGACCCAGGGCACAATGAGATGTGGATGCACTGGGCCCAGTTTGGGGACTGGTGAGGACAAGTGAGGGGCCTGAGCCCAGGAGTGGGGGAGGGTGGCTGGAGTACAGGGTAGAAAAGGGAAGCGGGAGTCAGGGATTCAGAGTCGGTTCCTCTGTGGAGTGTGAGTGTGGGGGAGGGGGGCAGAGGATGTGAATTGTCTTCCTCCAGCCCTCAGGTCCCAGGTTCAGGGCCTGTCCTGTTAGCCCTGGGGACTGGAGAGGAATACAGAACCCCCAGCCTGGAGTTCAGCCTGGGTCTAAACCCAGACCAGCTAGCAACAGCCATAGGTGACACTCCCCAGGCCCCAGGCGACTCCAGCCTGGCAAATAGGGGTGGCCAGGTCCCTGCAGAGCCAGCTCCTTCTTAGAGCCCTGGCGGCCTGTGAGGCACTCTGAACTCTCCTTCCTTTGGGGCCAAGGCAGGCCAGGTGTCTGTGGCCCTTTCCATGGGCCCCATGGGGTCCATCATGGAAACCCTGGTGCCTGACCCCAGGCCCTCCATGTCCCTGCCTTAGCTGGGCCTGGGTCTGAGAGCCCTGGGGGTGGGGAGTAACAGGTGAGAGGCCTTCGGTGGCCTCCTACTCTCTGTGGGCTCACATCCCTGTGGGGCCACTGCTCTGGCCACCAGCTGCCTGTACAGCATCATGGCCTCCCTGTCTTCTCTTAACACTGAGGCAAACCAGCCCCACCCACAGCTCTCCGAACTCTGTTCCAACTGATCGCTCTACTCCCTGGATGATGCACCCGCCTGAATCACCCCTAATTGCTCCCCTGGGGGATTTCAACTTTCCACTTCTCCTGGGGCTTCCTCAGCTTCTGTGTGGACACAGAAGCAGGTGACTACCAAGAGCCTAAATTAGGACTTGGTGACTTGGCGGTGGTTTCCCTTGGTCCTGGCTTCCCGCTTCCCTCCCTGTCATCACTGGCTGGCCAGCTGCTCCAGTGCCCCACATCCAGACAGCCTTCCCAGCGCTGCCCATCTGCTCACCTGGCCTGCCCCAGCCCTCAGCCTGCGTCCTCCCGCAGAACCAGCCTCCCCAGGCCTCAGCTGACTGCCCAGTGTGGGCCCCATCCCTGGGCACTTGGTATATCGGGACTCCCCTAACAAGAACTGATGCTATATGCGCCCAGCTAAGTGTCATCCCATTGAATCCTCCCACAATCCTATGAGGGAGGGACCACTTTACAGATTGGGAAACTGAGACTTAGAGAGCTTAAATAACTTGCCTAAGATCACATACCCAATGAGGTCAAAGTGGGATTGGGATTTAAAGCCAGTAAACTTGGCTTCAGAGAAGCAATGGCCAAGTTGAAGAAAGGCAGGAACAGGCAGGAAGGAGGCCATGGAGGAAAGGGAGGAGCTAGGATGCCCACTGCAGGGACTATTCTGTCTATACCCCTGGCAGGAACTGGGTGACCAACATCCCCTCTGTGGCCCCGCTGTGCTCTGTGGCCCCAAGCCCTGCCCTGCCTGACCCTAGCTCACTTCCCCTATGGGATCTGCAGAGCTCAGGGGAGGGGGCCGGGAGGAGCGATGCCGCCCTGGCTGCACTCTGGGCACAGATGCTGCTGATGGCTCCTGGTGCCTGCCTGGAGCCTGGCCCTGCCCTCCCATGTCACCCACCTCCACCCATCCAGCCTGTGCCTGCCCTGCTGAGCTCTGTGGATAAAAGGTTCAGCCCGATGGTTACTGTGTAACCAGGTGTGATTTCTGAGGAACCTGGACTATAAACTGGATCAGTGATGTCACCCAGCTTCTTGCCCAGACGCTGCCAAACCGGCTCCTGTGGGCCCTGGGGAGGGCAGAGGGTCCGCAGACAGAGCTAGATCAGCTGGAGGTAGCGCCCTGCTGGAGGGAGGCTGGCACCCTGCAGGCCCCTCCCCTGCTTCCCTGCTCTGGGGACTGCCAAGGCTCCCTGGCCTGGTGGCTCCTGCCTGGTGGGGGGCCTCCCCCTGACATTTGGGTCTGGAGGCCTTGGAGGCTCCTTCCCTGCTCCCCACTGCTGCTGTCCCCATCCCAGCTGCCTGACCATCCTGCACTGTCAGTCGGTGTCCCTAGGGCGGCCCTGGCCAGCCTAGCACAGGGCCAGGCGCTCTGGGATCTTGGAAGGGTTGCTGGCCCTGTGACCAAACACCTCTGTCTCCCAGCTTCTGCTCTTTGCCCATCTGCAAAGTGGGGCCAGAAATACCCATCTCAGAAGGCAGGATTGCCAGAGCCCCAGGCAGGAGCCGCCCCCAGTGCCGGAGCCTGGGCAGGTGCTCGCAGCTTATGGTAGGCAGCCCTGCAGCCCTGCCCTCGGGACCTCACCTCTGCAATCCCCACCTTGCCGTGGAGGGAGTGGGGAAGGGGGGTCCTGGGGAAGCAGGTCAGGCCCTCAGCAGGGAGGCTGGGGGAGGGGAGAGGTGGTCTTCTGAGAAGCTTCCAGGCTGAAGACAAAAAAAAGCCCTGTGTGCCTCCCCCACCCCTGGAGTCTGGAAGTCAAGTCAGCCTCCAAGGACAGCAGCTCCCCTTTCTAGAAACAGAAACTTGAGCCCTTCAGGCCTTTGGGGTAGAGGGTGGGGTGGGCAGCTGCAGATATTTCTAAAATTGGGAGAAAGGGCTGCAGGGGACACGAAATGCAGGGATTCCAGGCTTAAGGGACACTTGCTGTCCGGCTGTCCGGCTGTCCGGCTGTCCAGCCAGCGCACACAGGCCATTTGCCTTTTTACACTGGTTGGTTTTATTGGTTGAAAAAATGGTCTCAATGCATACCAAGGTAAGGGAAGGAAGAGGCAAGAGTCCCCTCTGCAGTAACCATGGGGACAGCACAGCGGGTGGGGACTCCATACCCTCTGAGGCTCACATAGGCAGAGCGAAGGGGCTTCCTGTTCTTTGCGTCTCAGTTCCAGTGCCCTCTCCTCAGACACACTTGTGTGGGGTCCCCTGAGCCCCCCCAGCTCCCAGCAGCACTTACTTGCCAATGTTACGTGGTCGCTTGGCTGCTTGCCCTTGGCCAGGGCGCTGTGCACCCTGCTGCCCGCGGTATCCTCGGGCAGGTGCTCGCTGTGCCACCGCTGGAGGGCTTTTGTCAAATCAACACACATATAAGGGTTCCCCTTTCCTTTATTCACGGAGAAACGTGTGAGTGTTCACTGATGGATGTTAATCACACGGTACCACTCCCTCTTGTTTTTTCTAATTTATTTTTTATTTTGTAGGGACAGGGTCTTGCTATGTTGCCCGGGCTGGTCTCGAACTCCTGGGCTCAAGCGACACCCTCTTCCTGGGCACCTCCGACTTTTTAACAGCTGCATACTATTCCACAGCAGGGAGATGGCTTCCTGTCCTTGGCCAGTCCTCAGGTGATGGGCATCGGGTCATACCCAGGTTTGTTTGTTTTCCACACTACGCATCCCTTGGTCTATTTGCAGAGAGCACTGAGACTGTCCTTTCTATCGGCTGGATTCCTGGAAGTGGGATTGGATTGTTGGGTCATGGAGTTGGAGCATTTTTAATTTTAAAAGATACTGCCAAATTACTTTCCAAACAGGATGTAGCGATTCACACGCCCGTCTCCCCACTTCCAACCCAGAGCCAGCACTGGCTGGTGTCATCTACGTTTTTGCCAATCTGGGTGTGTTGGGGGTAGGGGACGGTATAGTCATTGTTATATCAATTTGCATGATTCTGATTTTAGTGAGACGAGTTCTTGAAATCTCACGTATGCTTATTGTTTATGAGCGTTTCCTCCCATCCCTACCTAGCTAGGGACTGCCTCTGGGGGTGGGGTGCTGTGAACCTGTCCCTGGAGAAGAGGGCCCAGGGCTGGTGTCCGGGGACTCTGAGACGGTGCACTTGCCAAGAGCCTCGCAGGGCCATAGGGTCCCCATGTCTACGGGAGGGGCTGGGCCCGAGGGTCTCCGGCTGGAGCCCCGGGGGACTCGCCCAAGGTCAGGGAACCGCGGTGCCGCCAGGCTGGGCCGCAGCTAGACTGCGCCTCTCGCGTCTTCGCTCTGCACCAAGATCGCCCTGGAGGTGCCCGCGGGCACCTTGAGGAAGGTCAGCGGCTCGGGGCCAGCTGGGGCGGCCGGGCGGGGTGGGGCGGTACCTGCTGCGGGAGCCCCAGGCGCTCTCTCCCGGCCCGGCCGCCGCCACCTCCGAGGCTGGCGCGACGAGGGGAGGCGGGAGCCGGATGCCGACGAACCCGAGCGTCCTCACGTGCCCCAGCCTCGCTGGACTCAGTTTCCCGCCTGGGGGCAGTGTGTGTGAGGGGGACCCCGGCCGTCCACGGACCTGCGGTTTCGGCTTCGGGGTCCTGGGCGGGTGCCAGGCGGGTGCGCGGGGTCCCAGCTTGCGGACGGCTCGGGTGGGTGGCCTGGGGGTGTCGGGGGCTGCAGGCGGCGGACAAAGCGGCGGCACCACCCCGCAGCGCC